AGATACTCTTTATACACTGATCACAAAATATGCCATCTGGCTCGGCTTCTGCCATTTGCCTCTGGGTGCCCTGTATTCAATACAGACAGCAGCGCCCTCTATTTTTCAATACATTCCGATCATTTACAGTGCGGTGCTGTTGCCACTGCCGTAGTGCTGTCTCTGCCTCCATTTTTCCTCGTTCATTTTCTCCCTGTCAGACTTTTACATTTTTTAGGTCCTGGTTTCAGATTATTTGATGATTTATTTTCTCTTGATTTCCACATTTTCCCCTTTTAGTTTTTTATTTGTTCCTGGGAAGTGCAACTTTTTAAAATTGTGGACAAGGGTAAGTAGTCACCTTTATTTCCTTTATGGTTTCTGCTTCTACTTCTTATGCAAAAAAATTTACATGCCCTAAAGTTATAAGGATTTTCTTATGTGTTTAGCCTTTGAAGTCTTTTGGTTCTTTGTTTTGTTTTTTATAATTTTGTGACATCTTGAATTAATCTTTGTGTTTGTTATAAACTATGGATTGTTCATAATTTTGGGCTTCAAGTTTTTCTGTAATAGATGCTGAAACTCTTCAATTAAGTAGCTTTAAAACTATTGAGTAGCTCTTAATATTTGTCAAAAATCAATGGGTCAATATATATGGAAATATGTCCAATATGCATACTGATCTATTTTTAACTGTCTTTTTAAAAATCTGTAAGCCAATCATTTCATCAAGATCTTACTGTCTTGGTTAGTTTTATGTTAAATCTTGAATTCTGGAAATTCTGTTCTTCTGATTAGTCTCATATTTGTTCAGAATCACCTTCCTAACTCATACAAGAAAATAATCCTTATAGAATTTTGAACCATATTTTATTAAATATGTACAAAAGCTTTGGGAGAATTGGTACCTTAATGAGATTGGTTTTTCCAATCCATGAATATGGCATAATCCTTTCAATTTAGTTAATATTTCTTTAAAGTTTTTAGTCAAAAGTTTTTGTATAGAAGTAAGTTTATTTATTCCTGGTAGTGTGTTTTTCTGACATATTTTAAACACAGATTTTATATTTTAATAATTACTGATATATGAAAATAAATCTATGGTGGTATTTATTTTATCCTGCTATCTTACTAATTATAGCATATGTTTTTTAGATACATTAGTAATTTCTTTCATGAACATCATTTGTGTACAAAGGGAGTGCCTTACCTTGGCTTGTTTTTTTCATTTTTAAAAAAAATTATTTTATATTATATAATTTCAATATTTGAGAACCTAACTATAATTCTGAATAAAAGTGGTGGGAATGTGGGGTACAGGATTGTAGCCATGTGGTAGTGTACTTGTCTAGCATGTACTAAGCTATGAGTATGATTCCTAAGACAGACACAGACACACAGACACATAGACACACACACACTTACTTGTGCATGCATGTGCACACACCCCAAGACACAAAGAAAAAAGGGCTGACTTTATTTTTTCTTAAAATGCAAATGGAACTCATTCAACATTTTATTATTAAGGACGATGTTGGTGTTTTTTAAAATACATTTTTATTTTCCCTCTTCCTATTTTTGTCCTTTTTGAATGTTTAAAAGTTCTATTTTAATTTTTCCATTGATATTTTAGGCATGTATCTTTGCATTATTTTTTAAATGTTAACTCTCAGGATTATAACTTATGTTCCTAAGTTTTCACATTTTATCCAAAGTTAATAGTATAACAATTTACACAAAATATAAACATTGCAAGACATTATATGTTGATTTTCCCTATGTTACTTGCATATTATATATTTAACTTCGGTTTATATAAAGAACCCAGAAGGTAACTTTTAAAACTGTGGTGATTCTTATGCATGCTAAAGGAATTCAAAGACATATAATACATGTTTTATTAAAGCAGGTACTGATTTAGATCCTTAATCATTCCTGCAAGTAATATGTTCCAATTCTCCACTTAGTATCTATCCTTCTGATTCTACAGTCAAGATTTCTGCTGGAACAAGTGATCGCAGTTCTCCTGGCACAAATGAGGAGCCCAGAGAAGACCTTCTGTATTGTGCCTCCGGGTGTGAAGAGAATAGCTAGTGTGCACGCACTGAATTCCAGTCTCCATCGTTTGGGTGTGCACTCAGAGGCCTTAATTTCTTCCACATCTGGAAAATGCTTGCATGTGGGCTGATTCCTAACGCTTCCCAGAAAGACTTGGGATTCAGAAAGAAAGTGGCACATAAAGAAGGACTGACAGTAGTTGGACAGTAGCTGAATTAGAAATTCATGGACAGTAGTTGAATTAGATATCTGACTGTGTGAGTTGGAATCTCGCAGTGCAAGCTGTTTCAGCTTCTCAGTCTTACTCTCTTATCTGAAAATGAGGACAATAAAAGTATCTCTCTCCTAAACTGTAAGAATTACATGCATGTAAATTATTTAGCAAAGTTATTGATGTAAAATGAGCAAGAATATTGGTTCTAATTATTTTAGTTATGGTAAAACTGACCCTTCAAAGGAACTATAATAAATTAGGTAAGAGACTCAAAAATCAGAATGAGAGAGAGAGAGAGAGAGAGAGAGAGAGAGAGAGAGTTCCTGAGTCTCACCATGATTTATGTACACCATAACTAGTAGAAAAGCAAAAGTTAGACATCTGGTATTCACCCAACTCTGGTTTTATTTGTACTTCTTTATATAACTTTCAAGGCTCTTATTTTCGTATTGCTCTGGAAATTTACGTATATGTTTTAAATATTTTTTGCTATTTAAAATTCCAATTACATAGCGTTCCAATGTCCTCAATGTCTTTCATGGCATGGGTTACAAATATCAAAACAAAGTACTTAACAATACATGTAAATTGAATGATGAAAACTATGGAATGAGGATAGCAATTTCTATCTGAACCTTACTATAATTTTAAAATCATAAATATTAAACTATACTGTGCACTAATATTTATTTATAAGGCATTTGTTATGTTATACTCTAGTGATCATTAAAATGTTGTATTGCAATACATGAATGTTGAGATAGAAACAAGAGGAATTTATCATTTGTGACTGACAGAATCTTGAAAGATTGTTTTTTTCTGTGTGAACTGAACTTTTGACTAGCCATTACAGAAAATAGGATGCTTTATGAGGCTTTTGAATTGACATTCAAATCTGTAGCATTTTCAGAGATTTATCCCCAAAGGATAATAAAAGTGAAAGAAAGTTATATAACCACTGAGCCTTTGATTTGTTACAAAAAATGAGTAAGGTATTTCAGGAAGTAAGATTTTTTTTGTGTAGGTATCAATAAATTTCATTTTTGATTTTCATTTACTATGTGAGAAAACCTTATTCTCTAAAGTTATCTGTACTCAGAAGTCATGGTACAATAAAAGAGCTGGTATGTCAAGAAACTAGCCAGTGAGAGATTTTGACTGAGTAGCTCTAGGCTACCACTAGTTTCAGGTGAAAGATGGTCACAATCAAGTTAATAGGAGGCCTTGTTTATTCACTGTAAGAAAGAAGCCCCAAGGGTACTTCAGCAGCATGCAAACTTGGCTGTCTATTAAAAGACAAGATTTGGGTTACTTGAGGCATAGTTGAGATGCAGAGATTTAAACTGAAGATTTAAAAATGTTAAGGTGTAAAACTCTTTGCTTGATTCACGTATCTGGATGCTCAGATTCAAGGCAAGTTTCAGAGAATGTTTGGTTTATATAACCCGGGAAATTAAGAAATGAGGGGTAACCTGGCCACCATCTCATTGTTCCTTCCTATTCTTTATACTGTATTTAACTGAATATTTTGTTGAAAATAATATTGTTGAATTCAATTAAATTATTGTCATAGTGGGAAGTGATTTGAGTTACTCAGATAATTCTTTTTTTTATTCATAGTGATTTTTGATTGTTCAAACTACTTAGTAAAATAGTATTTTTTTAGTACAAATAATTAAAAATCCAGTAAATCTGCAACTTTAATTTAAAATACCTGTCTACTTACTATATAAGGAGTTTAATTTCTTCTTCTAAAAATGGTCGTATTTAGCTGATAGATATCTGTGAACTACCTAAATAAGTACATATCTCTACATATCAACAGATATTTTCTTTTTTATTATATGTGTTTGTAGTAATGCTTATTTACATTCCGTGGAGTTGGTACATGTACTTCAAGCACCATAATTTATTGTTTATCACTTTCCTTCCTCTTCCCTTCTTCCATCTCTTGATCCCCTTCCCATTTGAGAAAGATCTGTCTCCCTGCTTCTTATTATCTTTTATTCTGCTCTTTATTTGTAATTTGGGTTTCTCACATACGAGAAACCATGCAGTATTTAAGCTAGTATGTCTGATTTGTTTCACTTAATATATCTCTTTTGCATAATATGTACCAAATAATTTACATGAACCCGTTGTCTACTCATTGCCAAGCAAATCAGACATCACAGTAACCAACATTTAACTTCATTATTATAGTTACTACAGGAGTAGACAAACTTCCTGAGATTTGTATTCTGGCTTTATCATCTGCCATGTAACCTTGTGTAGGCTTCGTAGCCTCTTGTAAAATTCACTTACCTATAAAATAATAATGGAATAATATTTTTTGAAAATATAATGAATTATATACAAATATATTAAAAATATACGTTGGTGCCTCAGTTCAAAAATTTTATTCTTTCCATGGTTCTGGTCATGCATCAATTTTAATAGTTAGGTTCAATGTTGTCTATATGGGAAAATTTGGTTGGGTTCCTACCCAGTTTGGTTCATGACTGGTATTTCAGAGAGAATTTAGTTCATGAACTAAGGTACCATTGTATTATTTTCTAAAATATGTTGAACTCATATTTATCAATAGTCATTAAAATGTAAAATCTAAAGCTGCAGGTAGACTCTTCATTGCATATAAATATGTACTGGTAATTACATATATTTATAGTGACATTTCATATGTGGTAATGAAAATGTAGCCATCAGATAAAATAATTTTTTATGTAGTGTTTGCACCACAGGTTTGTTTTCTCATGGATTTGCTGATGGCTGGAAACCACACTACAGTGACAGAGTTCATTTTATTGGGGTTGACAGATGACCCAGTCCTCCGAGTCATTCTCTTCATGATCATCCTGTGCATCTACCTGGTGACCATATCTGGTAATCTCACCATAATCATTCTTATCAGACTCTCCTCTCAGCTCCATCATCCCATGTACCTTCTTCTGAGCAACCTGGCCTTTGCTGACATAGGCTTTTCTTTTTCTATCACACCCAATATGCTTGTAAACTTCTTGGTGGAAACAAATACAATCTCCTACCTTGGATGCGGCATTCAGCTTGGCTCAGGTGTTTTCTTTGGTACAGCCGAGTGCTTCCTGCTGGCTGCCATGGCCTATGATCGCTTTGTGGCAGTCTGCAACCCACTGCTCTACTCAACCAAAATGTCCACACAAGTTTGTGTCCAGTTACTTGTAGTGACTTACACAGGTGGTTTTATTAATGCTTCCTCCTTTACTCTTTCCTTCTTTTCTTTACTGTTTTGTGGACCAAATCGGGTCAATCATTTTTTCTGTGATTTTACTCCTTTAGTTAAACTCTCTTGTTCGGATGTCAGTGTGCCCGCAATTGTGCCCTCATTTTCAGCTGGCTCCATCATTGTGGTCACAGTGTTTGTCATAGCTATTTCCTACATCTACATACTCATCACCATCCTGAAGATGCGCTCCTCTGAGGGGCGCCACAAAACTTTCTCCACCTGCACCTCCCACCTCACTGCAGTGACTCTCTACTTTGGAACCATTTTCTTCATTTATGTGATGCCCAAGTCCAGCTACTCTACCGACCAGAACAAGGTGGTCTCTGTGTTCTACACGGTGGTGATCCCCATGTTGAACCCCCTCATCTACAGTCTCAGGAACAAGGAAATTAAAGGGGCTCTGAAGAGAGAGCTTAGTAGGAAGATATTTTCTTAAGATCATCTGTTATTTTGTAAGACTTTATATAGTAATAAATTACAAAGATTTTAATAAAAGGGAACTGTTTCTGCATATGTCAGTGTGAGCTTTTGGGTTAATATATAGGGATTCCCCTTTCAGATGATAATTGTTACCGAGAGGCTTACAGTGAGGCTTTTGTTTTAATAAAACAAAATTTATAATTTAAAGCATAGATTGAATGAAACAATAATTGCTAGAAATCCTTTTAAAGTTGTTTTCATATTTTTTCAAAGTTTCTTCTCTGCCATAAGATATATTTTACAGTAATTCTGACCTTCAGGATCCATGCACTGTCTCATATGTTAAAAGATTGGTTCATAACACGTTGCTATTGAGAGGTGATGGATGGAACCTCTAGGTATTGTGGTTCATTCAACCTTGTTCTTTTTGTCAGAATTGTTTTGACTTTCTTTTAGTATTTTTATTTCCATAGTAATTATAGGATTGATTTTTCTATTTATGTGAAAAATGCCATTGGTATTTTGAGGGAGATTGTGTTGAATTTGTAGGCTGCTTTACGGTCATTTTAACAATAATAATTTTGCTGATTAATGAACATGGATAATCCTTCCAGATTTTAGTGTCTTTTCCAATTTATTTCTTTAGTGTTCTATAATTTTCACTGCACATGTTTTCACTTTCTTTGTTACATTTATATGTAGGTATTTTTTAAAACTATTGTGCGTGGAGTAGTTTTTCTGATTTCATTCCTAGTGGGTCCATTATTGGTAAATAAAGAAAAACAATTGATATTTCTTGTTGACTTTGTTCTACTTGACTAAATTGGTTTATCAAATCTAAAAGACTTGTGGAGAAGCATTCAGAGTCTTCTAAATACAGGATCACATCATCTGAAAATAAATTTAATTTTTCTTTCTTTCTGTTTGTACTCCTTTTATTTCTTTGTCTTGCTTAATTTATCTGGCCAAAGTCTCAATCACTATATTGAATAGGAGTAGTGAGAGTGGGCATCCTTGCATTATTCCTGATTTTTGAGGGAATGCTTTTAATTTTTTCTCTTTCAGTGTGATGATGACTATAGGTTTGGCATATATAGTTTTTATTACATCGTGGTACAAGCCTTCTACACCTAAAATATTCAGGGATTTTACTATGATGGGATGTTGAGATGACATTTATTGAGATGACTTGTGACTTTCATTCTTGATTATATTTATGTGTTGTATTATGTTTACTGATTTACATATGCTTGCATAACTGGAATGAAACCAACTTAAGCATAGTGTGTGATCTTTTGTAATGTGTTGTTGAATTAGATTTGAAAGTAATTTATTTATTAAGACTTTTTATGACTTTATTAAGATATTGGTCACTAGTATTTCTGTTGGGAAACCTTATGATAAATCTATAGTAATAAAAGTGGGTTTTTTTATGTGTATGATTTTTATGGTTTGTGGTTCTACATTGCATTATGCCTAAAATTTTTGACCTATTATGCAATGAAAATATTTTATCTTACATTTATCTCTAAAATTTGTTTTATTTTTTTATTTATATCTATTATAAATTTGAGTTAAATTTTTTAAGTGGTATGGCATAAGAGTCAATTTTAACATTTTTCCCTTGTGAATAAGCAAATGTTCCAGTGACAATTGCTGCTCTGGCAATGGTGCCTGTGCTGGTGAGTCTGTTGCCAAAGCTCCAGTGAGTATGCAGTCTCCCTGGTTTCTGAGTGAATATCTCTCTCTGTTATCTTGGTCTGTGGTACTGAAGCTTGAATACAGGTTCATTTCAGAGTCTGCAGATAGTGGTTTTGCTGTCAAGTGAATTGACAGTTATGGCTTCCTCTGAGTCCCTAGGTGGGGGATTCCTATTGGATGCTGGGTAAGTCCTTAGGCAGTTAGTACAGTGCATCATTGAGAGATGCTAGAAATAAGGCACAGGTGTGTTTTATGGTCTGCAATTGAGATGAAGTTCTGTAAGTCTGTCTCTAGGGCCACAGAAGTGCATTTCTCTGAGTAAGTGTCTGGGCTTGATTTTAGAAAGAGGCTGAAGCTAATTTGTAGGGCTGTTTCCAGGACCACAGTAAAGTAAGTAAGTTTGCAAGTGAAGACAAATACTTTATGGCTTTAGGTTGAAGAACATATTACTTTGTGGCTGTCAGACAATCCAAGAAGTTGCATGGGATAAATACATGATGTAAGACGTAAAAGAATGTAATCCTACACAAATTTGAGGGTAATCAGTTATGATTTATATAGAAAAATAAGTCGTGCTGAGATGTTCCACTTACTGGAAACTAATCAAAAGAGCTGTATATATGATGGATTCTAATATTAACCTTAAGACATTTAAAGGAAGGTGGGCTATTTAGATGACTTAGGATTTTTATATATGGTTTATTTTCTGCTACCTCAATAGAATATAGGTATTTAGATGCTTATAAACCTTCTTAAATTGGTCTAGTGAAGAATGGGAAGACAGAATTCCAAGACATTTAATTAAGGAATAATCATGTGTACACAGAATTCCAGAATTATCTTAATTTTTCTGTAGTAAATGTCACTAAGTAAAAGTATAATTGCCCTCTTTACTATTCTGTCCTTAAACTCAAATTTTAATTTTCAATTTTATTTAAAGGCTGTTTTAATCAGTAAGTACACTGACATCAATATATTAAGCTCAGTTACAGAGACAGGTTATTAGTTCTGAATGTTAAGTATGCTTTCAAAAAGCCAAGAACACTCTCCTTCACTTTCATTAAACTAGGGAAAAAGAATTCCAAAGGACATCGTGGCATATATGGTCCCTTTGGGGAAGGCCAGCCAGGCTTTAATGATTCGCCATAATGAGATGGATGGTTCTATAAGTCACCTCTGTACAACAAACCAAAAGACTTTTCTCTCAAAGGAGAGGGCAAGAATAGTAACTCTTGAGGGATTGCCAGGTTTATTAGGAATTTTTTACTCTACAACAATGAATAAAAAGACCTAGCCTCAACTTCACTACATGTACTGTGTTCCTTGATCACTGTGTACATTCAAAGGTACATATTGTCCTCAACTGTCTATAAAAGTAAACGGAACATATTTACTTTATAAAGCCCTCTTTGGAATTCTGCATCAACAATTCTGCTTCTAGAAAGTAAGTGGAAAATTCATGAATTTTGTTAAAATAAAATTTTCATTTGTTCAATAAGAAATTGAAAATAAAAGAACTACCTGTAACACTTTTAGTTCTTGACTTTTTGTGTAATCTGTGTCCTCAGAAAGAAAAGTACTTTGCAATTGTCATTCTGGGCACATTTAAACAAGTCTGTCAAAGAGATCTCTATGCATGATGAGACAGTTTGTGGCAGCCAAAATAATTGCTAAGTCTGAGAAACTGAGAATATGAAGAGAGGAAATCAGAAGAAACAACCTGGATTTTAGGTTGGATAAGATTTACAGTCCTATGTCCTCTATCATCATAATAATGACCAAGGTATTGAGAGAAAGGAATGAGTGGCACTGACCTATGTGGGGTGCCACTGGAGACCTCTAGTCCCTAGCTGTCCAAGGGAGGGGAAGAAAAAGGCAGAGATCAGTCAGCCTGTTACATGCATGAGTGGCATAGTCCAGAGCAAAGAAGGAATCATATACTGTACCTTCTGTCATATTTTGGACTTGTGGTAAAAACCTTTTGATATATTCAGATATAAGTATATTCTTCATCAAAAAGTTGAATAATTGAAAATCTAACAATACTTCCTTTTAATTTAGTTTAACTTAAAAAGTTACTTAACCTTGATGTATAACCAAATAATTTCTTTTAATTTCACAAAAAAGCTGTACTTTGTTATAACTATTTTTATTTTATGAGTGCAAATACCGAAAGTCTGAGAGATTAAGGATCATGTGCAGGTTAACAGAGATGAGTAGTGTGAGCCCAGGATCTTACATGTCTGGCTCTATAGTAAATACAAATTGACTCATTAGGCATAGAGGATGAATGCTATTCAGTCTTGGGCTCCCTTTCCAGCTATAGTATATTCAGAGTCAGATACACATGCTATAGGTAAAATAAATAAACTACAGATGCTGAATTTCAGAAATGGGAAGGCAATGGAGACTTGACAACTGTATTCAAAAATTTCAACATTTTCATATAGAAAGTAGATGGTTTGTCCCATTAAAATGATGGTGAGCCAAGTGATTAGATTAAAACATTGTTAACAGTATAGATAACATCAAAAGCAATAAACTGTCACTAGAATAATTTAAATACATTTAATGAAAATCAATTGAAGAAGAGACAGATATATTCTTTAATGAGCAATTGGCTCATTATATTTTATAATTCATTCAAGAACTCAGAGTAAACGAAACTAAATGCTTATTTATTTTAAAGAAAGATATTTAAACTTCTAAATAATCAAGATACTTTCATGATATTTAATACTTGTACCTATTTCTGGTAAATGTTTCAAAGCTGAAGAACTGAAATAGCATTGTTGGACTCCAATTGTGCTTCTGTGAGAATTACAATTAAAGAAAGACATTCTACTAATTTTCTACTAAGCAAAGACTTCTACTAATCTTTTTTCAATTTTAAAATGAAAAAACAATAGATGCAGAATTTCAAAACAAAATAATAGGATAATAATACTGGTTAATATATTGCATTTTATTATCTTCAAAGTAATTGTTACAAGATATAGGCATAAAAATGATCAAACAATGAAAGCACAACTTTTTTTGATGAACTAACAGGGATTAGTAGTATAGTTATTTTGAGTAGAAATTATAGCATTGTCTTAACATGACTCTTGAAAAGCTCAAAGGTACAAAGCATACATAATAGGTAGATAAACTTGGAAACGTAATTAAAGATGGATTATGAAACTGTACGAGTATTAACATATGATCCATACAGTATCTCAATTATAAATATTATTCAGGAATATGGAAATATTTTATTTATAATATTAAGTACAAGTGTAAATTTTAAAAGGGATATAGCATATAATTATGAAT